AGGTTCCCACAGACACAACATTTTGTGGAAAGTCTTCCCAGAAAAGTGGAGACTCTTATAGCCACAAAGGGGAAGGGTAGAGTGGGAGGAGTGGGCTTTAGATGGACTTTAAGTAATCAAATTAAAACCCAGCTCCAGCTAAAATGTTATAGCAATTACAGGAACAGATTTTATGAGCAAGGCTGGCCACACAATATGCAATTTTCTTTCCTTCAGCCACTGGTTGAAGGTAGGAAAATCCTCGATTTCTTCCATCAACACAGTCAGTGTTGATGGGGGAATCCCTCCCCTAGAACTCTTGTACTCTGACAGCGGGGAGGATTTCCCACCTTCAGAATACAATGATTACAGCCGGAGGTTATAGCTGCTGGCAGTGGTTGAGTGAACAGAGCCTGGCAGGCTGGTTGTACTGAAGTCGATTAATAGATCAACTTTAGTACAACCAGCCTACCCATAAATGGATCAAAATTAAGAAGGTTCCTGTTAAACTAGATGAATTTCGATCCAACTATGGCCAGTTTAACCCCTTGGCGCCTCCCGGCCTTTAAGGGTTTCAGAAGGCGGAGTTTAGAGTCATGTGACCGCCGTGACACAACGTCACAGCGGTCACATGATTGGTAAAGAGGAGATCAGGATCTTTCCGTGGGTACCAGACATGTGTGCTGGGAACGCACAGGGCGCACGCTCTCAGCACATACGTCAGGCCCAGACGCCTGGAGGCCGCACATTTGCGTTCGGCCAGCGCCAAGAGGTTAAGGGCCCAATCACAGCAGTGTGCTGTGTTGGCTGCTATGGGACCATTTATCATAAATGGCATCTCAACGAACCTCTGTAACCCACCAAGGATGTAGGGAAATGCGATGTATGGTTGTAGACAGGTGCCACCTTTGGTGTGAGTGTAATTACTAAGCCAATGCATACTGTCTCTTCAAAGTTTTGTCTGATGCTGCAGGTCATTACACTTGCAGTTACAGTGAAGAAAATGCGTATTTGCTCCCCTGCTGATGTTGAATGTTTCCCACTCACAAAGAAATGATCGGTCTAACAATGGAATGTTCGGTGTATTGTAACACTGAGAGACAGAATAGCAACAACAAATTCAGCAGAAATGCGTCTAACAAATGATGACTGATCTGCATGTTCATGAGGGAAATAAGGATTTGATCCCCTATCATTCAGCAGGATTTCTGGCTACCAGGTGTCTTTCATACAGGTAACAAGCTGAGATTAGAAGCAGTCTCTTAAAGGGAGTGCTGCTAATCTCATTGTGTTACCTGTATAAAAGACACGTCCACAGGAGCAATCAAACCATCAGATTCCAAACTCTCCACCATGGCAAAGACCAAAGAGCTGTCCAAGGATGTCAGGGACAAGATTGTAGACCTACGCAAGGCTGGACTGGGCTACCAAACTATGGCCAAGCAGCTTGGTGAGAAGGTGACAACAGTTGGTGCAATCATTCACAAATGGAAGAAACACAAAACAAGTGTCAGTCTCCCTAGGTCTGGTGCACCATGCAAGATCTCACCTCGTGGAGTGTCAATGATCATGAGAACAGTGAGGAATCATCCCAGAACTACACGTGAGGATCTTGTCAATGATCTCCAGGCAGCTGGGACCACAGTCACCAAGAAAACAATTGGTAACACACTACGCCGACAAGGACTGAAATCCTGCAGTGCCCGCAAGGTCCCTCTGTTCAAGAAAGCCCATGTCCAGGCCCGTCTGAAGTCTGCCACTGAACATCTGAATGATGCAGAGGAGGACTGGTTGAAAGTGTTGTGATCAGATGAGACCAAAATCGAGCTCTTTGGCATCAACTCAACTCGCCGTGTTTGGAGGAGGAATGCTGCCTATGACCCCAAGAACACCATCCCAACTGTCAAAAATGGTGGTGAAACATTCTGCTTTGGGGGTGTTTTTCTGCTAAGGGGACAGGACAACTGCACCGCATCAAAGGGACGATGGACAGGGCAATGTACCATCAAATCTTGGGTGAGAACCTTCATCCCTCAGCCAGGGCATTGAAAATGGGTCCTGGATGGGTGTTCCAGCATGACAATGACCCAAAACACATGGCCAAGGCAACAAAGGAGTGGCTCAAGAAGAAGCACATTAAGGTCCTGGAGGGGCCTAGCCAGTCTCCAGACCTTAATCCGATTGAAAATCTGTGGAGGGAGCTGAAAGTTTGAGTTGCCAAACATCAGCCACCAAACCTTAATGACTTGGAGAGGATCTGCCAAGAGGAGTGGGCCAAAATCCCTCCTGAGATGTGTGCAAACCTGGGGGCCAACTCCAGGAAATGTCTGACCTCTGTGATTGCCAACAAGGGATTTGCCACCAAGTACTAAGTCATGTTTTGTGAAGGGGATCAAATCCTTCTTTCCCTCATGAACATGCAGATCAGTCATCATTTGTTAGACGCTTTTCTGCTGAATTTGCTGTTGCTATTCTGTCTTTCAGTGTTACAATACACGAACATTCGATTTTTAGACCGATCATTTCTTTGTGAGGGGAGAACATTCAAAATCAGCCGGGGAGCAAATACGCATTTCCTTCACTGTATGTCACTTCTGCTTGTGAAAGGTGTAGATGCAGGGGAGCCGACCTCGTGTGGGAAAGTCTGGTGTAGGAAGCAGACAGTGAGGACCCGTGTTTCATGTAACTCTTCTTCAGGCCGCAGCCCCCTCCAATGGGACTCATTCTTTGCAGAGACCACGTGGTATGGACTGCTATGGACTACTGCATCTAGAGGTATGAGCAGCACTATTCCACAGCACAGTTGTCACCAGCACAGCCAAATGTTGTAGCCAATTACAGTTAATGTGATTGTAAGTGTATTCAGCTTAGAAATGCCAATGTGTCGGGTGGGGCATAATATTGTTTTGGGCAGAAGTCAAGGCTTCACAGACTCTACATGAACCAATTTGAAGACACGGAAAGGTATTTGCAGGCACTGCGGTAATGTTGAACATTTCACCTCCACCTACTTACATGTAGACCTCTAGAATTGTAGCCAAATCAGCAGGTATTTTTTGCACAAATGTAAACAAAACGCTTTCAATTGTATATTAAACAGACAAAGGGACTGAATAAGAGAAGTTCATCGTTAAGGTTTACTTCACTTTAGGCCAGCCTTTCTCAACCAGGCTTCCTCCAGAGGTTACTCAAGGTTCCTTGAGGCCAGGGGTAGCACGCTAAAAAACATTTGCTGTCTGTAAAACGTATCTTCAGGAGGCATGTCACGGATCCAACCCACAGGGACTAGCTAATCGAGGCGTACACGTCTGGCCGTGACTTGGGGTAAGAGGGAATGTGGGGGACTTACGTTGAGCATATATATAAGACCGGCCGTGATATACTTTCACAGCCCGCACTACCTCTGGCCACCACTAGAGGGAGACTCCACTCCAATCCAGCTGGCTGACCACACACAGGCATATACGAATCTTATATACAATCTGGTGCACACTAAGGGTTGAGGAGCAGCCTAGCAATCGGCACACCCTTCTGGGATTCCTCCAGCTATCCTACAAGCTAGAACCCTGGTGTTAATCACTCTTCCACTGTCCACCCTTCCCCCCCCCCCCCCCGCACCAGACACACAACAAACGGTAGCTTGCCACCACCCAACAGTAATCCGTAGATTGGTCTGCTGGGCCACCACACACACACACAGATATTCTACTTTACAATCTGCATGAAATCTGCCAACACGCAGTGCAATTGCATACATATAGGCAATGAACTTGACTGAGCATATATAGACACTACAATACAATACAACTCTCTGGAGATATGAGCCCGAGCTTAAGTACCCAGAAGTCACTTATTAATTTTATGATTTAATATCCCAAAAGTGGGCAGTGCATAATATATGTACAAAATATAAAAAGTTACAGAAAATACAAAAATACAAGAAGAGACACACAATTGGCTATTGACTATAAATAAAAGGGAAAAAAACAGAAATAAAACTTTTACCAAGAGTTATCCTGCGACTGGAGCAAGTCAGAGAAAATCCACGATCCGCCAGTCAATAGAACCGGCTCCGTACGAATCACCCCACCCATATCTCAGGGTTCTCAATTTATGGAAATATGGACGTAGACTGGACATTAGCCCTTGGCCAATCAACTCTGGGGGGTGTTCCTGTACCAGCCCAGAGGACATTCTGTGTAATGAAATGCTCAAAGTCGATTGGACCCGGAACGGTTTGAATCACCAAGTCAGGGATTGCATTTTCGACACCAGCGCATCAGACCGATCGCGACAGTACCAATCACTGTTCTGCTGTCACAATCAGTCACCAGATAACCATTTTCTGCGTTTCTCTGGGGTTCTACAAAGGCTACAAATACAGTTTTACATGCAGATGTAGCCTACAGTGTGTCCAATCAGAAGGAAGTATTTTCATCTCTCTGCAACTAATATTTTAGCTTTTATGAGAGATTAAATATATTCCTTTGATCTGCTGATATACCACAGAGCTTGACAGACAGGTCGGAGCCCCTCTTCTTGCTCTCCCGCTGCCTCTGCAGCCGAAATGTCTAGAGTTCTCCTTCTTAGATTTCTAGAAGGTAACAAAGTCTGAAGAAGTAGGTGACAAGTCTTATTGGCATCTAGGTGTCACCTCCAGCCTAGAGGATGCTCTGTCCTTTCAGATGCTAATTGGTGACCATATGTCTCTGACTGAATCCTGAACCCATCTTATTATTAACATGGAATGAAGCTAAATCTACAATGTCATATTTCTACAGATCACATCTCAGCTACTCAAACCTTACATTTATGTTACAAGGCAGTATATTGCTTTAAATTTAAACAGGGCATCTCTAGTGGGAAAAAAGAAGAGAAAAAAATTTGCTTTCATTTTCAGCTTGCCAAACCTGTATAGATATTTACATTCAAACTTCCTCGTAGAGGCATTTTGCAGAGAACGAGGAACACCAAGCAGGTTCCTGAGCCAGCAGGGTATAGAAGCGTAGTTGTAGAGGAGGATGGAGAAGACAGTTCGGGACCATGTGCTCTGGGCACTGGATGAGTTGGAAAGCAGAAGTCTGAAGAGCTTCCGTAACAAGTTAAATGATTGCACAGTTAAGGAGGGCTATCAAAGGATCCCCAGAGGCCAGCTGGAGAATAAAGACCCTGAAGACCTCACAACTCTGATCCTGAAAAACTACGGGGATTCGTATGGGGCTGAACTTACTTTAAGCATTCTAAAGGCCATCAATGAGAATAAAGTGGCAGCAGACTTTGAAAAGCTCCTGGCCAACGGTAAGACTGGTAGAAGATTGTGAACGGTGATTACCAACCATTGATCCATTTTACATATTGATCACGGCACAAACATGCATTCTTGGATCCCCCATGTGTGCGTGTTTATGCAGTGGAATCACATTTATTTATTGTACTTATAGCGCTGTCAATTTACGCAGCACTTTAAATATATATTGTACATTCACATCAGTCCCTAACCTTCAACTCACATTCATACATAAACGTACTAGGGCCAATTTAGACAGGAGCCAATTCACCTACCAGCATGTCTTTTGCTATTAGGTGTTCTTTGTTCCTATCTCCAAAAAGTTGGGGGGCTTGAATATTTATTTATTACAGGTACTTATATAGCGCTGTCAATTTACACAGCGCTTTACATATATATTGTACATTACATCAGTCCCTAACCCTCAAGGGCGTACAATCTAAGGTCCCTAACTCACATTCATACATACACATACTAGGGACAATTTAGACAGGATACTATTAACCTACCAGCATGTCTTTGGAGTGTGGCAGGAAACTGGAGTACCCGGAGGAAACACACACAGGCACAGGGAGAACATGCAAACTCCAGGTAGGTGGTGCTGTGGTTGGGTTTGAACCAACCGACCCTAGTACTGCCAGGTGGAAGTGCTAACCATTTAGCCACTGTGCTGCCCAACATTTACACAGAAGGCAGAGTTTGTACAAAAGTGTGTCTTCACTCAAGTGTACCTAAGCAGCATGGCTTGGATTTAAAGTGCATGTATACCCATTTTTTTGTTTGTTTTGGATGGACTAGAGAAGAGAAAATTCCCATTGGTTTATTTTCTACTGTCTGTGTCCTGTTGGAAGGATGTCCTTCATTTCCTGCCCTAGAGACCTAGAGATACAACAAAACAGAAGAAATATTTACAAAATGAAGCTGTCACTGGTAAGGTGTCCCCATTGGAAGATTCCCTGGTTCTGGTGGGTTCTGGTGACAATTCAAAATTTTATTTTTCCAATCACTTTCTGTTCCTGTGATAGTGATCACCAGGAGAACGAGAGATGAAATCTCCCCAGGAATGATATAGACAGCATCACAAAACAGCAAGGGTTGACAAGGGTTCGAAAGCATTCATACTTTATCCAGAACTAAAACAAAATGGCTTTAACCAACCCCTCCGTTCTCAATGGCCATGCAAAACGGAAAAATCTGTTCTGAGTAGAGCTACCCTTGTAATATCATAAAAAGCCAGTAAGGTATGAATGGATGGAACCCCAGTACTGAGACAAGAGGCAGCGGGCCACAATGATATATAGCACTATGCATGCAAACAGTCCATACAATGAGCAGTACAGGGATTTCCCCAGGGAGGGGTAAGAATGGAGCTAATGAATGAGAATCATGTTAATGGCACTGGATGTCTTGCATTCAATATATACAATGAGGTGACACAGGCTGGAAGTCTGGTAAAGGAAGGAAAGATACTGTAGAGAGAAATAGAACCTAGAATTGTGCTAATGAGTAAATGAGATGATTTGTTAAATACTAATATTCATTAAATCTTCCAGAGGATAACAAATATGGAAATAAGTTTGAATAAGAAATACCTTTGATTGGGAAAATTATAAAGTGTATACCTTAAATCCATTTTAACTTTTTACAATTCTCTAAACCAAATTGTTTCTTTAGAATCTGTTGAAACCATTTGGACTGACCATTTGGAAACTCGGGCACTGCCAGTAGGGGGCCCCATGAGATAGCCCTGGTACCTTTTTCATAGGCTTTTTTGAGTTTGGGCAAGGACACAGGGGCCCCGTGTTCCCCTATTGCCCGGGGGTCCCATGAGTTGTCAGTTCACACCTGGTTGCAACATTCCTTCCCTGCAGGCTAAAACCGCCAAGCCAAGCCACATTCCTCACATTTTGCAGTGTCATGCCCGCCATTGGGCTGCCTATCAGGCCTATAGGTCTATCAGATAGAAGGACAACACGGCAGGTTGACAAAGCTGCTGCTACCATGTTTCCCCGAAAATAGGACACTGTCATATATTTTTTTGGTTCAAAAAAACACACTAGGTCTTATTTTCAGGATAGGTCTTTTTTTTTTAATTTACACGTGTGGACAGGGGGTGCTGAGGTGAGATGCAGGCAGTTGTGGATGAGAGTTGCTATAGAGAGGGCCAGCTGATGACAGTTGTGAGCTGCAGTCAGGTGTTACAGAGATTCAGACAGGATGAAGAAGGGGTGAGTTGCGGACAGGGGATGCAGAGGCGAGCTGTGGCCGGGGGGTGCACAGGCAAGCTGTGACCGAGGGGTGCAGAGGCAAGCTGTGGCCGAGGGGTGCAGAGGCAAGCTGTGGCCGAGGGGTGCAGAGGTGAGCTGAGGTCGGAGGGTGCAGAGGCGAGCTGGGGTCTGGGGGTGCAGAGGCGAGCTGTGGCCGGGGGGTGCAGAGGCAAGCTGTGGCCGAGGGGGTGCAGAGGCAAGCTGTGGGAGGGGTGCAGAGGCAAGCTGTGGCCGAGGGGTGCAGAGGTGAGCTGAGGTCGGAGGGTGCAGAGGCGAGCTGGGGTCTGGGGGTGCAGAGGCGAGCTGTGGCCGGGGGGTGCAGAGGCAAGCTGTGGCCGAGGGGTGCAGAGGCAAGCTGTGGCCGAGGGGTGCAGAGGTGAGCTGAGGTCGGAGGGTGCAGAGGCAAGCTGGGGGTGCAGAGACGAGCTGCGGCGGGGGGGGTGCAGAGGCGAGCTGAGGTCGGGGGGTGCAGAGACGAGCTGTGGCCGGGGGATGCAGAGGCGAGCTGTGGCGGGGGATGCAGAGGCGAGCTGTGGCCGGGGGATGCAGAGGCGAGCTGTGGCCGGGGGATGCAGAGGTGAGCTGTGGTCGGGGGATGCAGAGGCGAGCTGTGGTTGGGGAGTGCAGAGGTGAGCTGTGGCCGGGGGATGCAGAGGCGAGCTGTGGCCGGGAGGTGCAGAGGCGAGCTGTGGTGGGGTGCAGAGGCGAGCTGTGGCCGGGGGATGCAGAGGCGAGCTGTGGTTGGGGGAGTGCAGAGGTGAGCTGTGGCCGGGGGTGCAGAGGCGAGCTGTGGCCGGGAGGTGCAGAGTCGAGCTGTGGTTGGGGGTGCAGAGGCGAGCTGTGGCCGGGGGGTGCAGAGGCCTGCTGTGGTCAGGGGTGCAGAGGCGAGCTGTGGTCGGGGGGTGCAGAGGCGAGCTGTGGCCGGGGGGTGCAGAGGCCTGCTGTGGTCAGGGGGTGCAGAGGCGAGCTGTGGCCGGGGGTGCAGAGGCCTGCTATGGTCGGGGGGTGCAGAGGCGGGTTGCAACTCAGCTCACCTCTGCACATCCCCAGCTCACCTATGCAACACCTCACTGCAGCTCACCTTTGCACATCCTCCCCTCTCTTCCTCTACTGCCCTCATATGGTTAGCTAGCTTTGCAAAACACAGCTGTCAGCGGCAGGCCCCTCTCAATAGTAACTCCCTTTTCGGGTCCTATCTTCCCACAGAGTGCACCAAACGCACTCTCTCACCCCTCCGCTTCTTCCCCACTGGTCAGTGATCACCCCTGGGGCATTGGCTTCCATGCATTAGACTGCAGGACGAGATGCCCCGCCCCTAAACACACTGTGCCCGCAGATATCTGTTCCTTCCCTGTCCCACAGTGAGTACAGAGGTAGGGAGGTTTTGTGGGAGCGGATGGTGCTGTCACTTACAAGAGGGACGTGTCATTTCCAAGCACTTCTGTGTTTATAAGAGACAGTAGATATTGGTGTGCACAGGGCCAGTGCCGGAGGTGGTAGAACAGCGTTCAGGAGGAAAAAAAGCCCTAGTCACAACTAGGTCTTATTTTCGGGGAAACAGGCTACTTGTCAGGTAGAGGCTTAAAGTTGTCAGTTTGAAACAGAAAATGTTTTTACTGGCAGGATCTCCAGGAAAAAACTAAACAACAAATTCACTCATGCACACAGTGAGACACAATGCGGAACCTCCAGAATTTAGATTTGGGGTTTGTGTGCACTTGTACAGCAGAGATGTCAACACAGGGAGAAGCTTGTAAGGGGAGGGCTTGTGATCTACTTCTGTTGGCGCCAAGAGCACAAGTCTCTACCCCGCTTCTTCTTCCATTAGAACAACAACCCACCTGCCTGAGATTCCAACCCTCTGCCATATTGTGCCCATCTTTGTACCAGAGGCTTCCCCATGACATTCCTGGTCATTGACCAAGGAAGGAATGTCCACACAAAAAATAGAGCTGCTACACTTTACTGATGGTACTTAAAAAATGGCAGTTACAGTCAGGCTGTCTGTGTCCAACTCTCTGTTCATTACAGGTATTCTCACTGAGATAGGATCACTGCAGTCACCTCTCCTTTGGGTTTGTCTCTCCCAGGTCCTCCTGGGGAAAAGCCTCACTTTAGGAAAGGCTTGGCCTGGCATAGAAGGCCTTGTGTAAACCACTCTAGCCTCCACTACCATAATGGCTCTTCTGGGTGCTGGTCTATATCTCCTTGTCTTCCAGCCCTTTCCAGGGCCTACACTGGCTAACTACATCAGTCTAGAAGTGGGGTTTTTCCAACTCCTTTTTGAGGCCAGTGGGGGATAGGGTGTCAAGGGCATGTATCCAAAATGTCTCCCTATGGCAGAGTCTATGGAAGCGCTCCGCCTCAGGGAGACCAATAGGCATGACCTCGACCACCCAAACCCAAATTCCCATCGTGGATTTGTTATGGGTATCCAAAAAATGGAGGGGGACACTGCGCTCATCCTTTCTACCTTCAACCGAAGGTAAAAAGGTTTGGGTGGCATGGATACATTCCCTTAACACCCTATCCCCCACTGGCCTCAGTGAGTTGGAAATTGCCACCATATTATAACCACTGTCTGCATTGTTAACCCATGTGAGTCATCCTACTTCTCCATTCAATTCTCCCCCCTGGGCTCTGACAGTTAGACATGCATTTACACCACTTCCGGTCATGCTGGTAGTCATTTCCACACTATCATCACAGACCTAATTAACCTGTTTTTTTGACACAACCATATATGCTTGCGTCATCACCGCACTATCACTACATACCAAATTAACCTGTCCTTTGACCTAACCATATACGCATGCACCTCCGTTACAGCATGCCTTATCTACCGTTGCAAGAAAAAGTATGTGAACCCCTTGGGATTACGTGGAGTTTTGCATGAATTGGGCATAAAATGTGCTCTGAACATCATCTAAGTCACAACAATAGAAGAACACAGTCTGCTGAACATAATACTACACACAAACATTAGATGTTGCCATGGTTTAATTGCACATAACATGTAAACATTCACAGTGCAGGGAGGAAAAAGTATGTGAGGCCCTAGCTTAATGACTTCTCCCAGAGCTAATTGAAGCCAGGAGTGAGCCAACCTTGACTCCAATCAGTGTGATGATATTGGATGTGTTGCTGACAGCTGTCCTGCCCTTAAAAAACACACACCTGTTTTGGGTTTACTGGTTTCAAGAAGCACTGTCTGATGTGAACCATGCCTCGCAGAAAAGAGCTCTCAGAAAACCTACGATCAAGATTTGTTGACTTGCATGAAGCTGGAAAGGGTTACAAAAGTATCTCCAAAAGCCTTGATGTTCATGTGTCCACGGTAAGACAGACTGTCTACAAATGGAGAAAGTTTAGCACTGTTGCTACTCTCCCTAGGCGTGGTCGTCCTGTAAAAATGACTGCAAGAGCACAGCGCAGAATGCTGCATGAGGTAAAGAAGAATCCCAGAGTGTCAGCTAAAGACCTACAGAAATCTCTGGCACATGCTAACATTTTTGTTGATACATCTACAATAAGGAAAACATTAAACAAGAATGGAGTACATGGGAGGACACCACGGAGGAAGCCATTGCTGTCCAAAAAGAATTTTGCAGCACGTTTGAAGTTTGCAAAAGAGCACCTGGATGTTCCACAGCACTACTGGCAAAATATACTGTGGACAGATGAAACCAAGATTGAGTTGTTTGGGAAGAACACACAACACTATGTGTGGAGAAAAAAAGGCACAGCACACCAACATCAAAACCTCATCCCCACTGTGAAACATGGCGGAGGGAGCATCATGGTTTGGGGCTGCTTTGCTGCCTCAGGGCCTGGACGGATTGTGGTCATTGATGGGAAAATGAATTCCAGAGTTTATCAAGACATTTTGCAGCAAAACGTACGACCATCTGTCCGCCAGATCTTGCTTTTATGTTAAACCCACGTTTTATGATGTTTATATAAGTAGTTTATCCCTCCACCAGTGTCATTAATCTTCCTGTTCACAGACCGTTTGTCTGCTGCTCTGTGACAGTATCCTCCTTCTTTCCCTGCCCCCGTCCATCATCCACCCCTTGCTCTACATAAGGCTCCTTCACCCCCAGCTCCTCCCTGCCTGATGAAAGAGCGCACCTGGACTCCTCTCGTCCTGAGCATGCTCAGAAACGCGTTCACGTTTTGATGACATCAGGCTCTACATGTGCTGATCCCAGACATCTTGGAGACTCTGCCAGGCTTCACCATCTATGCTGCATATACACAGCACCATCTGTTGGCAGACACCTTGGAGATTCCACCAGGCTTACCATTCATGTTGCACATGCACAGCACCACTTGCTGGCGGACTAAATCGATCTCCTCTCTGGATCAGACACACAACAACATCTGGCTACAGACGTCTCACCCTCTTACCCATAAGCCTGTTTTTAAATTCTAAGATGTGAGTTACTATTTATCTTTCTATTAAATACCTTCACAGTACACACTTAGAGGCGCTGTGTTTCTTTGTTCCCTGCTGCAGAATTATCCTTCGCTCCTACGCAGCTTGCCCTTACTGTACTACCCTTACCCCTGCCCATTTGGAACTCATCAAACATACATGGACTGCCACACCATGCGCCTGTTATCCCTTTTGTACACGATTCCAGTTATGAATTTCTTGATAACAATTGGTTGAAATGAAGTGAACTCCAGCTAAAATACGAAACTTCCAAACAATAAATACCTTATTCCTCCTTTGTTTTTTTAGTAAATTCTTTGTTTTAAACTTTTTCTCTTTTTTTCTATTATAGATTCTTCTGCTTCTTGCTCAGGCCCCAAGAAGCATTTTGTGGCTAAACATCGGGAGGTTCGATAAAAAAAGTAGCTTTGGTGGCTCCCATCCTGGACACGCTGATGTCTAAGTGATCTGCTGACTTATGAAGCTTATCAAACCATTTTGAGAGAGGGAACATCTAATGCACAGATGAGGAAGCTCTGCTACAAATATATCAGCACCTGGGAGGAGCCTCAGAAGGATGTATTCCAAAATGCCTTAAGAGAACATAATCGTATTTTGGTGGAAGATCTGGAGAAATCTTAGCTCTAATCATTGCCGCAAAATTAGCATTATTATTATATGCATGCTTGTGTTTTGGTGGAAGTATAGTTCTTGTTATTCTTGCCTCTCTACTGAACTGGACTGAACTGAACTCCAGCAGACCCCTCCACCTCCTATAGGGCTGGTCCTCAGTAACCTATTGCAATATGGCCAACTGAAATGACCAGGGGCGGACTGACAACTCATGGGGCCCCCAGGCAATAGGGGATCATGGTGCCCCTGTGTCCTTGCCCAAACTCAAAAAAGCCTATGAAAAAGGTACCAGGGGCATCTCATGGGGCCCCCTACTGACCCCGGGCAGTGCCCGAGTTTCCAAATAGTCAGTCCGCCCCTGGAAATGACCTGCGTAACTTGATGATGGTGCAGATTGATAGACCGGCTTGGTTGACCTGCGGCACAGAACCAGTGTTCAGAAGTTACCATATTGCTGGCTGTAAACCAATCTGTGTGACATCACTGGCCTAATAAGTATGGCAGATATCCTCACCCCATACCCATCAGGAGCACTGAAAGCCACATTGAATGACCAGGTGAACAGAGGTGATCTCTGCCAATGCTGGAAATGCACTGCTATTTTGTCCTTTGAGTCACTTTACTAGTCCCCTCAGCAGTTTGGTTTGGCCTTTCTAATCCAATCCACCATACGTTCTGACTTCAGTTCGCTCATCTCCATAGGTTCCTGCATGACTTACGATATATTCCATGAAAGCCTGAAAAAACATTCTAGAGAAAACTTAAATGATTTTCACAGAGAAGGAACATTCATTGATGTGTGAGCTCTCGGCTCATTAACTTACAGGAAAAATGAGGGCTGTAAAGGGGTCCAAACCCTACATATATAAAGGTATCCAGCTTCTTCAGTGCCCATGGCAGTATCTTCTCTATCACCATCCTCAGCACAGATGATTTCCAGTAAAGTCTTTGACATTAGCTCTTAACCCTCAGCCCTCCAGTGGTAGTTAATAAGCTGAGGGCTATAACGAATAAACTGCCAGCTTCTGAAAATGAAAGGAGTTGAATGCTTTACCAAAATACCTCTTTGATTGTAAGCTCATGAGGCCAGGGCCTCCTACGTGAAGAGCGGGGCAGAGTTTCTCATTGGCTTGTACAAGTCTTTGTCAATTACTGAACAACCTGTGGAAAGGGTTTAGCAGAGAAGCTTTAAAAGGCCTTTATTTAATACAAATTGATTTACAGTTCGCAGTGCCAGTGTTTAAAGCCAGCCGTAGATGGAGGGCAGGAAAGAAAATTGTTCAATTCGCCCATCAACACAGTCAACACAGCGAGCCATCCCAGCCAGCAGAACATACAGCGATAACTGCTAGTGGCTGTAGCCACTGAAAAAAATCACATAAAAAATCCAACAGGCTGGTCGTATCCAAGTTGATCGATCAACTTGGGTACAATCAGCCTGCCCATACATTTCAAATCCCTGCTAAACCGGCTTGAGTTACTCAAGTTACTTTACTCTTACCTAAATGACTCCATTAATTTTCAGCTCCTGAGCCTGTTTTCCTATACCCTGTATGTAACGGACCCCAGACACCCACGACTTGGTATCTCCATCAAGAAGCTGCTTCTCAGGCTCTGGAACTTCAGACCAGTGAATCTGGCTATTGTTACCCCAAGATCCAGATGACACAAGATTTGAAGTAAACCAGAGGTAGACTAGTTTATTTGAACACAGATACAAGATATATACACTCAGGGGACAATCCCCCCTCCCTGCATAATGACACAGGGCGGGGCAATCTACATTTAGTAACAAGAGACACACAGTTATTCAAACTTCACATCAGCAGACAGTCCCATCAGGAGGGAGGGCTGCTGGAGACACCCCCCCCCACTAAGCTAATACACATAAACACATACATCCCATAATAGTTTGCTCCCAAGCAAGACACACAATAGAACAATGGGATGCAACCACATGACATTAAACAATTAACAACCCCCACCCCAATATTAGGATAGATCACCCTGTACCCCTAACAGGCACAGGGTGACTTACACATAATAGGGATATGGGGAGCTGAGACAGGGGTCTCCCCACCTCTCCAAAGTGAGCTGGGTTCCATGGGCCCCCCACCCAAAGTGACTCCCGCCACACTGTACCTGCAGAGATGTGGACAGTCTGAAGTGTTGGCAGAGCCGTGGATAATGGGGTAGCACCAGTCCTGCTGTACAGGGCCCAGGCCAGCAAGGGGCCCCAGGCAGCTGGGTAAAAGCGACACGGCGGGGGCAGTTACTAGAACCAATCCCCTGTATGGCTCTCTCTGCAGCAGCTAAAAACTGGCTTTCAGCTGCTGCAGAGAAAGAAATACAGGGGATCAGTTCCAGTAATCTTCCAGTCCCTTCCTTGAACACAATGAGTGATTGATACCAATCACTCACTGTGTTCATTCATAACTGAAGCATAGTAAACTGTGGGTTTTTTTTTTGGTGGGGGTGGGGGGGGGGGCCCTGTTAGATTGGCTGTATGGGGTCCTTTGATTTGGGGGGCCCTGTCAGGTTGGCTGTAAGGGGCCCTGTGGTTTCTAACAGCAGCCCTGAGTGTTGGTACCATTGTGGTAGCAACAAGAACCTCTGTTAAATCAAATCCTAGTCAAGCTCAACCAGGGGTGGACTGACAACTCATGGGCCCCCGGGCAATAGGGGATCATGGGGCCCCTGTGTCCTTGCCCCACACTCAAAACACACCCAAAAAAGCCTATAAAAAGGTACCAGGGGCATTTCATGGGGCCCCCTACTGACCCTGGGCCCTCAGGCAGTGCCCAAGTTCTCGAATGGTCAGTCCACCCGAGCTCAACCCACCCCTGGCACCAAGCTGCACCTGCTAACCATTAAACTGTCAAATGGCAAAGTGCCTGCTGCCCATGTCTGTCACTTGACATCTGACTGTCAAGGGGTGGGGTTTAGTGACAGCAGAGGGTGGGGCATAATATTGACTTGGACAGCAGTCAAGATTTCATATACTATGGTACAGGTGTCAAACTGGTGGCCCTCCAGCTGTTGCCAAACTACAAGTCCCATGAGGCATTGCAAGATTGACAGTTACAAACATGACTCTCAAAGACAGAGGCATGATGGGACTTGTAGTTTTGCAACAGCTGGAGGGCCGCCAGTTGGACACCCTTGTACTATGGTCTAGGATCTAATGAGGCTGTACCTGTAGAGGTACAGCCTCATTAGATCCTAGACCGATCTGAACCCACGCAGAGGCAATTTCCGGCAGTAGCAGTGTGCTTACCTGAAAACATTAGACCGGGATACAGTTCACTTTCACAAACACAAAACATTCCCTTGTCATTCCATATCTACATTTTGTACAAGCTGTTAACAATCGCACATCCTTTGCATATGGCATTCCACTTTAAAAATGTATGTATATGGGGGGAGGGGGAGCTGGGGCAAGGTTGCTTACTATCTGATCAACGAAAGATGGCGTCTTATTATATATTAGTGATTTCGCATTTTTTTCTTCACAATGTAATTCAATCCCGAACAATCAGAAAATGAAATTTGTATAAAATTTCCTTTCTATGTGCAGATGGCTATTACAGATCATGTATTAAATAAAACTTTGGTAAATAAATCCTGGTTTGCTCCATGTATGACATCATCGGTGTAATTCACATGGAAGGACAACTTGTTCTTAGCGTCAGATCATATCTTAGCAGTTTATTATTAACAAAATGGTTACCAAAGATTTAGGCACCATTTCGGGACTCCCTTCCACCCCCCAGAGGGCCCTGTCCACCTCCCAGCCCCTCCCAACCCCATATGGTATTCTTTTTTTATACATAGCATTACAGATGTGTTCAGGTGGTCACACGATGTGCAGGCTCCTCTTCTACTTTAGATCTTTTATCTGTGGTGGTCGGTCTTCAGTGATGCAGAGAGTAGCATTGACGTGTTGGTGTCAGCACCACTCTGCATCCATACACTGAGAGCGCAAGGTGCCATGGTGGGGGGGGGGGGCAGGTCCATGACACCTTGCCCTCACAGTAGGGGCAGACTGACCATTCTGGCACTCGGGCACTGCCCGATGGCCTGGGGTCAGTAGGGAGCCCCATGAGATGCCCCTGTTACCTTTCATAGGCTTTTGTGGGTGTGGTTTGAGTGTGGGCGAGGACACAGGGGCCCCATGATCCCCTATTTCCCGGGGGCCCCGTGAGTTGTCAGTCCACCCCTGCCTCACAGTATGTCAGTCTTCCAGGTTAAATAAAGCTGGCCGTTTGTTATTTTTGTATACCATAGAGCAGTGGTCTCCAAACTACAGCCCTTTGCTTGGTTGTACCTGGCCGCTGGGGCACTATTTCATCCTCTGATACCAACAATGGGGCATAATTCCTCCCACTGACTAGCGGAGCACCGAAATGAAAATTCTGCTGCCGAAAATGAAAATTCAGGATGAAATGGGCAGTTTTTAAAAATGATTATATACTTTTTTGGGAAAAAAATACTTTGATTAAAAAAACAACAAAAAAAACACAATATACAGTGGGGCAAAAAAGTATTTAGTCAGCCACCAATTGTGCAAGTTCTCCCACTTAAAAAGATGAGAGAGGCCTGTAATTGGCATCATAGGTAGACCTCAACTATGAGAGACAAAATGAGAACAAAAATCCAGACAATCACATTGGCTGATTTGGAAAGAATTTATTTGCAAATTATGGTGGAAAATAAGTATTTGGTCAATATCAAAAGTTCATGTCAATACTTTGTTATATATCCTTTGTTGGCAA